AGGCAGGATAGGACAAAAGCTTCTCTGGGGCTCTAAGGGGGAAAGTGTTATGTCTGAGAAGCTGTGAGGAGGAGGCTCTTATGGAGGAAGGAGGCTTGGGACCTCTGCCCTTACTGTTTCTTTCCCTTCCCCCCATCCCGAGGTGAGGTAGCTCTGACATGGATAGCGGGAGAGATGAAAGATACAAGCACAGAGTTAGTACTGTCACTTCATAATCTGGTTAGGGAGCTGGCAGTCCTGTAGCATGCAGCCATCCTCCTGTTCAGGGCTCTGCTGAGGGGGACAGTAGCAGGGCTGTGGTGGTTTGAAAGAAAGTGGCCCCCCAAAGGGAGTGGCTGCCGCCATGCTCCCTGCGTGATGTAATGGACTGAACCTCTGAAACTGTAAGCGAGCCACCTTAATTAAATAAGAGTTGCTTTGGTGGTGTCTCTTCACAGCAATAGAAACCCTGACTAAGACAAGTGCTCAACCCCCACCACCTTAGAAGCACATCTACTAACCAGATGATGGATCCTTAGAGCCGAACTACACAGCCCTGGGTAGGACATGGCTGATTTAGGGCATTCCATAAACTTTGTAAAGATTAGTGTTTGCTATCAGAAAGCCAAGATGAAGGAAACTGTCTGATTATTCTTGTGACCAGAAGAGTGTGTGCACAAATGCCTGTCCATGTATATTCATTCATGGATGTGTGGACAGACTAGTCCAATTTCCCAGGAGGAAGCAAGGTGAATGAACATATCAGAGCCCAGTGTTAGCTGTCCGCAGGCACTGGATGTTTGCAAGCTTGTTCATCAAAGAGATGACTTGAAATTGTCTATTTTTATTACGTATATGTATGATGCATGGTATGAGTACAGGCATGTGAATGCTATGGCATGTGTGGAATCATTTCTCCCTTCCACCATGATTTCTGGGAAGGGAATTCAGGTCATCATGTTTATGCGGTAAACACTTTTACTTGCTGAACCATCTCACCAGCCCATAAAGGAATGCTTTTAAAGACGTTGCTTATGAAGAGGACAAGGAAAACAGGCTTCATTGGCTCACTGTTGAGGAATATTTAACTATGTAAAGATGTGTTACATTTGTTTATGCTGCAGAATATTACTTTAACTATGTGAAGGTGTGTTACATTTGTTTCTGCTGCATCTGTGTGTTAACATGTAAAGACGTGTTACATTTGTTTGTGATGCATTTGCTTAATTATATAAAGATGTGTTGCATTAGTTTCACTTTGTCTGCATAAGGCACCTGATTGGTCTAATAAAAAGCTGAAGAGCCAATAGCTGGGTAGGAGAGGGATAGGCAGGGCTGGCAGGCAGAGAGAATAAGTAGGAAGAGAAATCTAAGCAGAAGAGAGAATGAAGGAGAATAGAGAGGGACATGCCTAGGGCCAGGTAGCCACCAGCTGGCCAGCCATGGGGACAGCAGGAAAGTAAGTTATGCAGAAGGAAAGAAGGGAAGGAAGGAAGGAAGGAAGGAAGGAAGGAAGGAAGGAAGGAAGGAAGGAAGGAAGGAAAGAAAGGTAAAACTCCCTGAGGTTAAAAAGTAGGTAAAGAGAAGCAGATTAAAATAAGAGCTAAGATAAAGCTGAACATTCATAACTAATAACAAGTCTCTGTGTTATGATTTGGGAGCTGGTCGGTGGCCCAAAAGAAAGCCTGAAGTAACATGGTATCCATTATGAGGAACAACACTTGCTCATTAGGGACCTCTCCCCAAAGCTGAATTTGCATGGAGTCTGCAAGCCCTCATAGATTTAACAGTGAAGACTTATGAATGGGGAGAACCAGTTCTGCTAATATTACAGAAGTCTTGGCAACTGGAGAGCTATTTTAAGCTCAACCTGATGCTATCTACAAAACAATGATACATCAAAAAAAATGTTCTTTTTCTATCTTGACCAGAAGTCATCTACCTGACTAAGGGTGTGTGTGTGTGTGTGTGTGTGTGTGTGTGTGTGTGTGTGTGTGTGTGTGTACATACAATGCATAGATGGGTCTGAGCACATTCACACTACATATTTAGCTCTTGCAGCAGAGATTGTCCCTGAATCCATCATCAGGCTAAGCCTCTCCCAGTTGGTTAACAACCCTGCTTCCTGCTTCCCTGCAGGGTGACTAATTAATAAACCTTCCCTTAATTGAGTTCTGGCTGCCAAGTCCACAGGGATTATAACTTATATATAAGTAAACAAAATTTCCATTTTAAACAACACTCCAAATCTTCTCATTATGGGGTTAGCCACATAAATCCACTGAAATCCTGCTGGGCCTGAAGGCAGGGTCTGATCGTTTGCCTTTGAGAAGCTGGGGCTCTGGCAGGAAGGAGGGTTTGCCCTTTGCCCTTTGCCCTTTGCCTCTGGACCCTCCCTCTCTCTCATCTAGTTCGCTGCAACACCGGACAAGCACCTGAGAGGTTTGGAAGGTGTTGGTGGCATCTGCCTTTTACTTTTGCTTGCATTTATTATTTAAAAGCAATTTCCATACACAATTTAAACATAAAGAAGATGAGTTAGATGTTAAATATTTAATAAGTGCTTAGGATTTGGTACAACCAATTTGGGAGCGCGTCTTCAGTTTTAGGGAATGTTCTTTTAAATCATTGTGGAGTAAGAAATTCTAATTTTTACATCTGAAGTGCTACAATGAAAGTTTTCTGTATTTCCATTGTTTGCTGCTGCTTCCAGACTCTAAGGTGCAAACAAAACCAAGAAATAAGAAGTGAAAGACCAACAGATAGCTGCTGGCTTACGTATAACTTAGCAGGGCACCGTTCCACCCTCGGGGCCTCTCTGCATGGCACCTTTGGGAGCCCTTGTCTCAGGACTCAGAGCTGTGGGGGGTTCCCTTTGCTGACCATAGGAGAGCTCACTGAAGGCTATGATGAGTATTAGTATTGATAGCTGTTTAAATGCCTAAAGTAAACAGTTTCCCAGCTCTCACATCGACTCTGCTAAGACATTACCCAGAACAAGCAGCGAGGGTGGGATTTACAGCCAGCTCCCAGGACTGCTGGGAGAAACACAGTTCAGCAGCAGATTTCTGAGCTCAGGATCTCCCACTCCACGTCCTAATTCCTGTTTCCGGCCTCAAGAATGTTATGCTAAATGGAAGTGCTTGACACGGTGCGAACTCCCCTTTGAGAATTAATGTCCTTTAAAAGATTCCCATTCAACGTGTCTTGCTGTTTCCCAGTCAAACCCTTACAATCACAGGCTGTCCAAAGGAGATCTGGTCTTAGGTTAATGGTACCCTTCCCAGGGGGGCATCCAGAGTGACAAGTGACAGCCAGGGTCTCTAGATCACTGGGGAATTCGCCATCTGCTTCCCAGGTCTACAAAAGTGGCCTTGGCTAGTGGAACCCCAGTCCCAGACAGGGCTATTTCCGTTCATTCCCCATGGAGGGGATGGGAGGCATGTCTCCAGTCCAGACAAGTGAGCAGAGAACAGGGAAGATGAGCGAACAAGCCAGAGAAGCAAACCTCAAGCACGGTGCTTAAGGAGAGACTCCGGCGCAAAGGGACCCACTTGGGTCTCAGGACTGACTCACACACTACTCTGGGTAAAGGTCAAACACAGACAAGAACAGATCAGTGCTTCCCGGGGACTAAAGGTGGGGGTAAGGACTGACTGTAAAGGGCAAAGAGAACTTTCCAGGCCCCTGATAACACCTTGGATTCTCCTGGTTGCACAGTTGTATGGATTTGCCAGAACTCGTCTAAAAACACAAGAGATAAATCCCACTGGATACAAATTATTACTCAATAAACCCGAACCTAAGACACAGTACCTAAGTTAGGTGTGGTAGGCATACTGCTGCAATCCTGGCACTCTGGAGGCTGAGGCAGGAGAATTGTGAGTTCAAGGCTACCTGGGCTAAGCAAGCAGTGAGACACTGGCCAATGGCTCAAGACTCCCATACAAAGATACAGTTAAGTGTTGGTAGCCAACTCTGGTGGCCCTGGAGTGTACACTGCTGACAGACAAAGATGGATAATTGCTTCAGGTCCTGTCCTAGACTTGACAAAAGAGCCAGGCTGGGACTCTGAATCACAGAGCTGGGGTCCTGGCATTGTGACTCTCTCACAGAGCGAGTACTGACCTGAATTTGTACAATGCATTTTTACACACAGGCAACACAGAGGGAAGCAGTCCACACCTGGCAATTCTTTCAAAGTCTAATTTATAAATTATTCAAAAACATGGCTATTATTCCCTAGTCTATAGGGTAGACTCAACATAATGATGGATGCCATATGAAGTGGGAAGATGTATTTCTAATTTGGATCTTTGAGATAGGAAGACAAGTCTTTAGTGCAGATATTTAATCCAGATGCAATCTGAGCCACACCTTCTGCTAGCCTAGACTAGGACATGGAAGAAGGATGCTTTTGCTCTTTGCCTGCTTGCTCTTACCTTGCTGGCAAGTCCATTCCTTCACTGGCATTAGAGCCTACTTCTTCAGGATTCCAGCATTAGAACAGTTGAGACATCTAGCCTCATGGACGGAGCAACTACTGGGTTTTTTGACCTTACTTCAGAGGCAGCCATTGCTGGATTAGTTGGGCCACAGCCTGTAAGTCATTCTACAAGTCCCCATTCTCTCTCTCTCTCCCTCTCCCTCTCTCTCTCCATATATATGCATATATGTATGTGTATGTATATATTCATTCTATAAATCCTGTTATTCTAGAGAACCCTGATTAATACATGTGGGGACACCTATAAAACATGTGAGCAGAAAGATTCAACAGCTGTTCTTCTTTTTCTTTTTTAATTCATTATTTCACACATTTAAGGCAATGCCATTACTAACCATTTGCCTCTGTACAACTAAAGAGTGAACTTGAGCCTAGAATCCACAGTTATCTTGAATTCCAGAGCACTGAGCTGCAAGTGGGTGCCACACCCTCTGCTAAGGAAGGGTGGTGTTGCCTCAGGTGAGGGGTCCTGGATGGCCAGAGCTAGTGACAGAGCCAGCTAAGACGGACTTACTTCCGCCCTTCCCACTCTTCTCCATCCGGTACTGGTAGATGTGCAGGGTGAAGAGCATGTGGGAGTTACGGTGGTCTTCCTCATCACAGTCCTGTTGGTTGCTTCGTCTCGAGGCAATGGCAGCATCCAGGAAGAAGGCAGCTTTCTCTGCAGTGGGGGCCCGCAGCTCACTCTGGTTCTGCAGCTGGAGGGCGGAAAGCAAGAGCTGAGACCTTCAGGCTGCCCTCCTGCCTGGGGGATAAGGCTAGTCCAGTTTGTAAAGTCAGAAGTCCTTCTGAAACCAGGTCCTATACACGTGGGCCATTTTCAGCATAGCCATTTTTTTCTTTTTCCATTTTCATGTATGTGTGGTATGCATGTGTGTGTATGCATGTTTGCATGTATGTGGGCACACTTGCATGCATGTAGAAGCCTGAGGTTGACACTGGGAATTATCCTTGATTGTTCATTGTGGCAGGGTGTCTCAACTGATCCCAGAATTCCAGCTATAGTGACTCTCATGGCCAGCCTGCTCTGTAGCAGTGGTTCTCAACCTGTAGGTCTTGACCCCTTGGGGCCGAATGACCCTTTCACGGGAGTCATCTAAGACCATCAGAAAACACAGCTATTTATATCATGAGTCACAAGAGTAGGAAATTTGTAGTTATGAAGTAGCAATGAAATGATTTTATGGTTGGGAGTCACCACAACATGAAGAACTGCATTAAAAGGCTGAAGCACTAGGAAGGTTGAGAACCATTTTAGAGGCTGGAATTACAAGCAGGCTGCCACACCCACCCAGCCTTTACATGGGTTCTGGGGATTTGAACACTAATCCTCGTGCTTTTGTGGTTAGCACTTTAATGGCAGAGTCAATCCAGCTTAGTTGGTTCCTTTCTGAAAATTAATACTGACGTTTATTGGATGTAACTTGTTTTTAGTGATTTTACAGCTGGCAAGTACTGGGGGTTGGTGGCAGCACATGCCCGTCTTTATAAACGGACATCCTAGGCCATTCCTCTGCTAACATGAAAGATGCGACTAGGTGTTGACCCTAGAGATTGGAGACGGGTGCTGTGAAATGTGATTTTACATCTGACAAGGAAGAGATTTGCCTAATGTTCACTGCTGATCTCTCAGTTATTTAACAAAAGTTAATTTGACGTCACTATCACAGTCACGAACAAGAGAGACATTGTGATGATTGGTGATAACTGTCAATTTGACAGAATCTAGACCACTCGGGAGACGGGACTCTGGGGATAACTGTCAGGGTTATCTTAATCACATAACTAAGGGTGGCACCATTCCCTGGCTGGGACCCTAGGCTGTGTAAGTGGGGAAATGGAGCTCAACAGCAACATGCGTTTACTTGCTCATGCTTTCTGATTGTGAATGTGATGTGACCAGCTGCTTCCGGCTCCTGCTGCCTTGGTGGTGGCTTGTCCCTTCAACTGGGGATCATAAAAATGGCTTTCTTTGTCAAGTTGCTTTCGTCAGGGTTTTTTATCAGAGCAATGGGACAATGTATAAAAGGCACGTAGAAACACCTAAGTATTTGAAGGTCTCATGTGTATTTAAGAGACACCTGGTTTTGTTTTAGCTCCTGAGTTTATGTTCAAGGCAAACTCATGAGTGATTAGAAAAGATGCAGTGGGCACTGCGTCTAAATCTCGCGAGAGCCCTGGGTCTGAATCCCAGAACTCCCTTGTGTGGTAGAAAAGGTAATCTACTTTCTGGTTATTTGAGACCAATTCTTGGTCTCCCTCAAACTTGCCATCTTCTCTCCATAGCAATCCGAATGCTGGCATGGCAGGTGCATGCCTAATTTAGCTTTGATTTCTCAAGGAACTGATTTGCAACATGTCTTTGCGTTGGCACACATTATGACAATTTCCTACTCTGACTTTAACCATACCTATAATTTCAAACTGTGAGAAGCAATATTTGGTGCAGGCAGAATTTGCAAGCTAAGACCATCTTTAAAATACTTGAACTTTGAAGGCATTTTATCTGGATAAGTGCTTTTGAACCTACTATCTGACTTAAATGAAAGAATTACAAACATTTTAAAGGAGACTTTCAAGGGGACATTACTTTCTTCATCTTATTTAGCTTCCGTTAAACAGATCCTTACTTAAGACTCACAAATGAATCTAAGTTAATATATGTTAGTAGACTCACAAATGAGTCTAAGTTAACACATGTCTGAGTGCCGTCAAGCTTGCAGCAGGGATGGTGACCAGGGTACTCCTGCTTCCATCACAGAGGCCAGGCAATAGCATCTGCACATATGCTGTGCTTCAGAGTAAGAGTTCCCTAGATCATATGGAAACTTGCTAGAAATGCACATTGAGGGGCGGTGAGCTTTACCCCAAATGGAATCAGGAGGAGCCCAGTGATAAGTTTGAACAAGGCCTCCAGGCAACTCTGGTGCACACTCCAGAGATATCTAAAGGATACTAGAAGGTTCTGGGTACCCCTAGCAGAGGCTGAGCAAGAGCAGGCTTGGATGTAACACTGGGTCTGCGGCATCCTCAGCCACAGAAATGAGCCAGCTGGTAAAAGGTGGGCACTTATTAAAGAAACACCTTTCTGAAATAGGAGACATTTGGGAAGCTTACTGCAGGAGAGTGGCAGAATTGACTTTCTGGATATGAACCAGGGGAGCCCTCAAGTCATTTCTGTGTTACAGCAAAAGGAAAAGACCTCATAACAGGCCTGACTTCCTGAAAAGGCAAACAAGAGCTTCTCTTGGCTTCCATGGTTCTAGCAATTATATCATGGTTCTAATTAGAAATCGGTTATTAGTTTTCCCACAGCACTGCTAATCCGGTTGTAAAGTTGTGCCAGAAACACAGTTTATAGAGCCATAAACAGCCCCAGGAATGGTTTCAGCTATTGGTGCAGAGCAGTAAATATTTCAGTTTGTTGTTAAACAAAAGAAAGATTGTACATTTCCCCCCCTTTTCTTGAAAGGCGTCAAGAAAGTGGATTCAATTTCCCCCCAATGCTATGACAATTGTAGTCCCTGCTCATTGTCAGTTAGATTAAAGGTGCAAATATTTAGGTTGGGTGAGCAGATGGCCCTACAGCTGCAGGCCATAAAGTCCCAGTCCACTTTAAAGTAAACACTCATAAGCCTTTCCCAGTTTACATGATAAGTGATTCCAGAACCGAGAAGGAGAGGTGAATCACCCCCGACTAAGCCAGGCTTCCAAAGCAGTTACCTGTGTGCCACAGATGGGGTCCTCACAGAGGTACACGCCTGGGGACTGTCCGTCCTGTAGGCTGCCCGTGGCCACCTCAGACAGCAGGTCTCGAAGGTTCTCCTCTTTCCCCCAGACCTCAACAGCTGAGATGCGGACTGAGAACCGGGCCCCCGTCTTTTCTTTACGCTCATTGATAAGCTTGAACAGCCAAGAGATAGCGCATGGAATGATGCCCAGGTTCTGCATGGAGTCGTCCCTTCCAATCATGGTGTAGGATTTCCCTGTGGGAGCAGGGGAAGAAAGAAACACAGTTGGAGAGGCCAGACATCACTCTTTATAGCTTCAAAAAACAGATGCCTAGGACACAGAAGGAAAGGGTGGGGGACTGGGATGGAGGCAAGCGAAAGAATGTAAAGACCAGAAAAACAGCAAACATTTCCTTGTAGTGGTGGTGATGAAATATCTACAGGAAAATGTGAGAGCCCAAACAAACGACAGGACGGAATCACAAGGTACCTTGCGGAGGACCTCAGACATCATAGGCCGTTTTCTGCATTGTTCTACATGAAGTAGGAAGCTGGGGCTTTCCATCACCATTACAATCCTTTTTATAGCCACCCCACAGATTAAATCCACACACGCATGCTTTTTATCCTTTCTCGGGTTAAATGCTGTGCATTTTTTTTTATAGCTTGAGCAAATTCAATTAAAATCAGGACCCCCGCTTTGATCTGTGATCAAGACGTGAAGAGAGGAGTGGGGGTGTAATGGCTCTCTGACCTCAGGGGATGGGCCTCTGTGCCCTCTGCAAGGCCTCTGGGATGAACACTGTTTTGAGCTTTCCAAATTGCTAACTCATTGTGCATGTCAGACAAGGCCTAGGATGAACAGATGACCATAGGCTGGGACAGGGAAGAGGGTGTAAAGGGGATTTAAGCCAATCCTGTGCGGGGCTAGCTGGTGGCTCCTTTTCCAAATGCTCAGACAGGAAGGACCCCTCACAGAGCTGAGGCAAGGACAACTTTGCTTCTCCCTTGCGGGGCTCTGTTTGGAGATTCCTCGATTAGCTCCGCCCACCTAAATCTGCTCCCCAGACATGCCCCGTTCCGGCTCATCTCCTGGGATTGACTATGACCAAGACCAAGTAGGAACGCTTGGCTACTCCATTATTCCCCCTCTTAGACTTGAAGCTGTCCTACATGAATGCATGTCCACTTAGGGTCGACACTTATTTCAAAGTCGGGCATGATTATTCTTTATCATTCAGCTTGGCACCAAAGGGGAACTTAGCCCGTCCTTTCATCGAGGATTCTAGGATCAGTACTGAAACACAGATGAGGTGACAGGAGACCTAATGAGCAGCACAAGAAGTTTTCACTCACCCAGCTTGGCATGGCCAAAACAGAACACACAGCCATCTGCCCCGTTCACCACAGACTGGATTACCTCGGCCACCGTCCCAGCACACACTTCGGCCTGGAAGACACGAGAGGAGGCACAGGTGGTAAATGCACCATGTGGCACCATGAGGCACCTCGATGACACAGAAGTGAGTCTGCCTTCCTGGGCTCAGAGTCCCAGTGTCACAGCCTTCCCAGACGGTCCAGCCTCTGCCACAGAATTCTGAGGGACCTCAGGGACCTTCCACTCTTTGCCAGCCGGTATGAGAAACACATTGGCTATAGACCTCCCTTCCACTAACTGATAGCACTCTCCAGCCTTATATAGATAAGTAGGTACAGGCTGCAGTGGGAGAACGGGATAGTTCTGGACCCCATTGCCCTCTGTCATCTAGCATTCCTAATTCCAACCTCCTGGGCAAGGTACTCAATTCTCTATCAGCCCTCTGCTTGCAAACACACACACGCACACACACACACACACACACACACACACACCACTTCTGAAATAAGCTAGTCAGACTACAGTGGAAAACATGATTGCTATTTGAGGACAGAAACCCTGAGGAACATCTTAGTTCTAGCAGAATCAAGAACTTCTAGGCATTCGTCTGCTTTCTCTCCATCCCTTCTTTCTTTGCTCAAGTCCCACCTGTGAAAGCCCCTTTTCCTATCTGTACACTCACTGTAAGATTCAGCTGCCCCACACGAGTGTGTTCTATGCGGCATTCTTTACTGAGTGTGTCTCATCTTCGGTGTGGTCATTACAGTCTTTACCTAGAAACCAGGCTCTCCATCCTTCTTTGCCTCTCTCCATTAACGCTCTAAGGCAGTGTGTGCTGCAAACTCAGGGTTCACAGTCACATTTGTGGACCACTCGGGGATCCGGAAAATCTAGTCAGCACCTGAGGCTTTCACAGCAGCAGGAGGACAGAGTTGTTTCCCATGTCCAGTTGCCTTGCCTTCACCTCTGTCTCAGGGCTGCCATCAGAACCCACAGAGGCCCTGGGAGCCGTCAAACGCTGGGGCTCTGCAGCCATCAGAGCAATGTGTCTCCCAGTGGGATCTGAGAAGCGGCAGCCTGGGCCATGAATGTAGTTATTCAGCTCCATGGTGCAGCTGTGCAATGAATCTAAGTATCTGGAAATCAATTTTCTCTCCCAAACTGAAATTGAAAGACCGCACTCCTAACAATTGTCAACTGTTCAGGGGTGGTCGCCTCAGCAGCTCTTCAGGGGACCCCTCAGCCAAGGGGATGGCGGGATGGGGCTATAAGAGGACCATGAGATCTTATACAACTCCCAGGACTGAGGCAACAAGAGTCTACCCTGCATTAAAACACTGAAGCAGTAGAAGTTTTCTGGACTTGGCCAGACTTTTCTCTGTAAGAGCTGGGAGAAGCTACTGCCTGGGAGCCTGCCTTTGAGTATGGAAGGAGTTGGGTGTTGGGAGACTGCCAGCCACCTCAGCCACATGTAATATCAGCCCTGAGAGAAGAAATTAGATTATGTGTGGGACAAACTGACATTGGAGTCACCAGTACAGAGGCCAAGAGCCAGTGGTGACACAGGAATGGCCTCATGGGGGTGTAGGGTGGTCCACAACTCCCTTGTAGGGCTTCGGCCTATCTGTTCATAGAGAAGAGAATGAAGGGAGATTTGCCTATATTGGATTGTTAAGGGATGACAGTGACCCATAGAAACTCCCTGTTGTCCTTTCTTGCAGGCTCACAGAAGCGGAATGCCTCACTGAGCACACAGCTATGGCAGAGACAGCTCTGCCCAAGGCCCTGCTCACCCACAGGTCTGAGTCCTCCCCACCTACCCCTAAGCCAGATCCAGCAGAAGTTTGTGCCACCAGTGAGTAGCCATGCTGCCAAGACTGCTTGAGGTTATCAAAGATGACTCCTAATGGCAAGAAGGAACAGGGCCAGTCTTACCGTTACTCAGTGCCAAAGAGATGATGACGTTCTTCGAGGAGGAAGAAAGTCCATGGTTGCCTGGGGTCACCACAGTGACAGCTGCCACACCCGCAAGGACCTGAGAGTGGCCCTTGAATCCGGGTCAGTAGAATACAGTGGAAATGACAGTGCCTCAATTCTAAGGCAGCAAGCGTTTCTAGGCCCTGGGCCCTGCCGTGTCCACAAACCCGGGCTAGCCTGCTGAACAATGTGGGACAACAGATGCAGGAAGGGTAAGACCCAGGCAAAGCTGCTCTGTGCACTTACCCATCCTGTGCCTTGAGGCCCAAGGGTGCTGAGTCTGTGGGGTTGGGCTGGCTGCCGCCAGTGGTGTCAGATTAACACTCATGGTGACATAATAGTAAAGACAGACAACGGCCATCGAGCACCTGCTGTCACGACAGCCCAATTAGGTGTACACATTTAGAATATAAGGACACTGCGACCCAGAGAGCAGAGTGACTTGCCCACTGACACACTGCTAGGAAACAGTGGCTAAAATGCTGACAGGTGGGAGATTGCTGTCCTGGGCAGGTGAATACAGTGAATGGAGGTGGTGGCATCCAGGGAGGATGTCTGCTGAGGACAAGAACGAAGATGACAAGGCTAACTTGTGGAGTCTCAGTTTCCTTGTCTGTACAGTGTGAACAGAATGAAAAATGTTCCCTTCTACCCGAAAGAATTCAAGGGAGAGCCCACGACTTAATGTACATGTAAGTTCTTAAAAAGCACAGAATTACATAGAAATGCATAGGGTTAGATACCTGAGGAAACCAGACATTAGGAAGTCTATGAAAGTGCAGCCTGCAGCTTCTTGAGCCTGGGTACCAAGTGGGAAATGTAAACAAAGACTAGCAATAAAAATGGCTCCTCTTTTTTTTCCTGGAATAAATCTAAAACTCATTAATAGTCCAGGTTTAATTTAGGGTGTGCTTTGGAATCCTTACAATTCCCCCAGATAGCTTTTGGAAAGTTTTACCCCTGTTAATTAAATTATTTGTAGGACATTTATTAGCCCTGGTGTCAGGTTTAAATTACTGAACCCATTGGGTGGTACGACATAAAAATTGAAATGAACAGAGAAACTGCGAAACTTAGTCACAAAGGACCTTATCTTCCTATGATAAAACTTAAGAAGCAATGTTCAGCTTCCCAATGGATGGCGCCTACAAACACTATTGCCTGTTGGTGGAAGACTGGAGTTGTGTAAACACCAATAACCCCCACAATCACACATAATACATATTAACAGGCTGCAAACGTTAACCACTGGAGCTATGATCTTCAGGTCGGCTGCAGCCTTAACTATCATACTATGAAGAGTTTTGCATAAATCTTGGGAAGTCCTTGAAGTTTCTCAGAAAGTTATAGGTCTCTAGTGCCTATGCAGGCAAAAGGATGCCACCATCTGTCTATAACATGGTTTATTCACATAACAATATATGCATTGATTTGGGAAATTGAGGAGTGAACCCAGGGCTTGGTCATGCAGTAACATCTAACTGATATCACAAGCCCCCCAAGTCCACATTTCTCCACTAATCCTGACTGCAGGGTACACACCAACCTCAGTGTCCTAACTGAGCACTCATTTCCTCTCTGGGACTATAGTTCTGCTCTCCACTCCCCCTGGGTATGAGACATTGCCTGAATTTAATCCAGTTTTCTGAAACATTCCCCTTGTTCCATGGCAACCCAAACCCAGGCAAGAGTAGAGGTCTAATGGGTCAGTCATTAGCACTTTCTCCAGCTTTCCCCGTGACCTCCAGCTTTTCCTGTTTGCTGCTTTGTTTTTCTTCTCCCCAAGCATGAATTTTAAAATTGTGTGTGTGTGTGTGTGTGTGTGTACATGTCTCTGTGTGTGCGTGTGTGTACATGTCTCTGTGTGTGCAGGGGTATTCACATAAGTGAATATGTGTGGAGGCTAGAGGTTGATGTTGGGTATTCTCTCTCTATCTCTGTCTGTCTCTGTCTTTGTACCTCTGTCTCTCCCCATCTCACATCTCGCCCTGATCCTGGGGCTCATCCATTTGGCAAGACTGGCCAGTGAGCCCCCAAAGACCCTCTCTCTGCATCCCCTACAGCGTGTACCACCATGCATGACTTGTCCTGGGGATGCTGGGGATTCCAACCCAGCTCCTCATGGTTGTGTGGCAAACACTTTACCAAGTGAGCCATCTCTCTAGCCCTCCAAAGACATAACTTGTTGAAATCCCAGCACACCCAGTCCACCCAAGGAAACCACCACACCAGAAACTCAGATGAACGGGGGTATTCCAGGAAGCTCAGAATGACTTCCAAACACAATGATATGGATGAAGGAACTTGTCCATCAGAGCATCCCAGGAGACTCCCTCCCAGTTCGCACCCGTTAGCCAACACCACGTGGGCCTGGAGGGGGCTTCACCCACCTGAGAAGCATCTTGTGGGAAAACGGCATCAAAGGCAAACATCTTGGGGGGAACCTGGCTGCCTCTCTTCTGGAAGGCATTCTGACCTCCACACGTCAGGGGGTCATACAGGGTGACCTGCTTCTTCCGAGGGTCCACCTTCAGGAAAGAGCTGGATTCGGAGGTCTCTCGAGCTGATGCGGAACAGATGCGGAGCATGACTTTCACCTGTTGAAAACCAAAGACAGCAACAGCATGGCTCAGAGAGTGGGCTGCTTCATGATGGAGTGGTCTTCTGCACTCGGTGGTATAAATATCCGTGGCAGTTGTGAACTTTCTCATGATATATTACGGTGAAATACACAATGAATCAGCAAGCTAATCCTCACTGGGTCAGGGGAAGGATGGTTTATTTATAATTACCAGGTAGGATATTTTGATATGTCCATTACTTTAATGCAGAGAAGGCAACACTGTATTCTTTGTCTTCCTATTAATATAAATTAAAAATTAACTGTGCCCTGGTGGCCCAATTACATAGATGAAAAGCTAATCTGGACTGTCAGGCTATAGGGGCTGGTGCAGTTCCCTTGAAGCCTAAAGATCAATAAACCATGCACATAAAAGTTAGCTTCGTAATTTACTTCCCAGCTCGGCTCATCAAGGCTCTGGGAGACAAAAATCCACAGTTATTAGTGTCATCATTAAAGCCCCATGCAACCGCCTGTTTTTAATGGCCAGCATTTGAAATGCATTCCAAGGGGCAAGTATGATAAAAGATTGGTTTGCAACATGTTATCTGAGATCCCATTACATGAACACGGAGAAGCTTCATTTGGGGGGATGGTAGCGTGTCTTGTTGGAATCAGAAGGCAGTACATGCTAACCCACCTTCAAAGTCACAGAACATAAGCATCTCTAGTGCTTATGACCAGTTCAGCTCCACCCCATGGATGAGGACCGTGGCATTCATGGAAACAGACCACCTGCTTTGTAGTCGTAAGTTGGGCAGAAATCAAGCAGAAGGCTAGCAGCGATCTGGAGGCTACAGTCCTAGGAGAAGGATTTAGCTCTGTGCCCGGCTATTTTTTTTACTATGTTGTTTATTCAGTCCAGCATGTAATGGGCGCTTTCTTCGAGTATCCACTATATGCTGAGCACTGTGCTAGGCATGAAGGGCACATAAAACATAGGGTGGGGCAGATAGCTGCAGAGACAGGTGATTTTAGTAATACAATGTGGCAAATAGTGAATGCCCAAGGAGGCATTTTTCCACTCTCGCCCTCTTTGTCTGACTAACTATTTCGACTGATGAAACTCCTATCATGATTACAATTTGTTTTTCATGTGTGTGTGTGCTGAACACACACATGGGTTCCCATGTATGTGAGTACAAGTGTACATGGTTGTACGTGTGCATATGTGCATGGCCAAAGGTTGATCTTGAGAGTCTTCCTCAATCACTCTCCACCATATTTATTGATGAAGGGTCTATCATTTGAGTCCAGAACTTGGAAATTAGACTACTTGCTCCAGGGATCCCCTATCTCTGCCTTCCATATGCTGGATAACAGGAGGGGCTCCATGTCCACCTAAAATTTACCTGGGTGCAGGGAGCAGAAACTCTTGTACTCAAGTTTTCATGGAAAGTTCTTTACTGTTCTAAGCATCTCCCAAGCCCCTGTTCATCCACATTTTAATAAAACATTTTAAACATACTGAAATGTTCATGAAAAAAATACATATCATACTCAGTAAACTGAGGTCTCAGTCCTGTTTGCTGAGGCCTGGGGACTAAAATTCAGTGTATGAAGCTTAACCATGAATAATTCCAAGGGTACCAGGCTCATCAGATGTCTGGTGCCATACCCTGCCCATGATTCTCTTTATAGTCACCATACTCCAGTGTGGAATGGAGGCCAGGTGTTATGGTGAAAAGATGCGGTTGGCCGCCCAGGGTTAAAACTGTGTTTCTCCTATGTGAGGCCAGAAAATACTTACTGACATTTGGAGGTGAGGGGCTGTGTTATATACAAGACCTGTGCCATCATCTACATGATCTTATTTAGTCTCCCTGTTGACCCAGATTATGGGCACACTTGTCCATATTTTACGGTGGAGGAAATGGATATCACACACTGTTGGACTATAGCTTCATTTTGTCTCTGTAATAAAACATTCTGCCCCAAAGAAACTTTGGCTTACACTTTCTGGTCACAGTCCACCATTGACGGAAGTAAAGGCAGGAAATTGAAGCCAGAACTTTGGAGGAACACTGCTGATCGCTCTCTGAATCACTTGTTGGCTCATGCTTAGCGAGCTTTCATGTATAACCCAGGACATCCTGCCTAGGGATGGTACCACCCACGGTGGGCTAGGCCCTTCTGCATCAATTAATAATCCATTACAGACATGCCCACAGACCAACCTGATAAAGATACTCAATTGAGTGGGTGAGTCTAGGCTGAATCAAGTTGACAGCTAAAACTAACAAGGACTGGGTCAGTCCTACCATCCATGGCTACAGCCTTGGATGGTAGGACAGGCCCAGACTTACTAGAGCCCCATGTTTTCTCCTTCCAGCTTCTGCCTCCCATGGTCAAGCTTCTTGGAGTCTGACTTTGCCCATCTGTATGGTAACAATGCCTGCCTACCAAAACTGTTGTGGGACTTGCATGAGTTGCTGTGTGAGGTGCTACGCATGTAACAGAGTATACAGAAGATTCAACTCCTGTTCTCCCAATGCTTGTTCCCTTTGCCTGACTTCCTCTGGCCCTTGATAGACTATTATTTTCCAATGATGATGCTGATGGTAAAACTACACAATGCCTTGACCTGGTTTCTGGGTACCATGTTACACAAAGAGGACCCCAGGACAGATGCTGCAGATATGGATAGTTAGTAAGCACAGATATGACCAGGATCCTACCAGGTCAGCAACTTCAAGTCCAACAGCCACTGTGTACTGGACAATACCCACTATGATTACCTATCTGCCATTGGGGCACGCCCTTGATTCCCATCACTCTCTATAGCCTGATCTTAACTGCACTCATGAACAGGTTTGGTCTAGTTACACCGCAGTATGCTACAAGCAGGTATCCACACAGCTACTTCTGAATGGTGACTGGGCCCCCAGGCTTCCTGTGAGCGCCTCTTCCCCATCTAGCTATGAACCACTCAAGTCAAGGATGCTGCAACTCCAGGCAGAACTGATGGAGTCCCAAGGCCCACTGCTTTTCTGTTTTGCAATTTTGCATGTCATCTCTAGGTAGCTAGAGGTGCTGGCTGTGAGATGTGAGCTAGGCTAGGCAAAGCCCACGTGGAGAGAAGGCAGGCGAGCACTGACTCAGTCAGCCATATGAACGGGAAGCATATGCCTGCATCTTAAGGAAGCACACGGCCCCTTTTCTCCAGATGAGCCAGAGACCCAGCCTTATGTCTAGCTAAGGAGACACGCGGTTCTTTAAAATCCCATTGAACTCGGAGCTAGGGAAACGGCCACACTTCATTCTTTTCTCTGCAGCTCGTTTAAATAAATGGAGGATTTTCCCCCTTCTAGGAAGGAAATTGGGTTTTTCTGCTTCGCCTCCTTTTTGTCATTATTCCTTTAGTCCTGCACTCCACTTTCGGCTTAATCCTCTGTAATTAAGGAGCTTAGGAGACACCACTTATGATCAAGAAAGTTCCTCAGACTTCTTGCCAGGAGCCCTTGCTTTTGTTGCAAACACTGTTAGATTCTTGGCAACGTGTTCGACCCTGCCCTCCACCCTGCTCCTCCTGGAGAGCAGGAGCTGCCATACACATTCAGAGACTAGCTCAACTCTCAGGGTTAAGAGCACAGTCACTCCCAAGAGTGGACCTGGGACAATGGCGTCCGACAGCTAAAGGGACAGTCTGAGTGGAGGAAGGGAGGGGCAGACACCCAGAGGCGGGAGACTGTCAGTGTGGACCAAAGCCCTCTCTGCTTGGGAGCCACTTGGCCTCATTTGTCTAATTGCTCAGTGGTGGGTGCAAGACAGCTGTTGCTCGGGGGCAGCCATTGTCTTTATGTGTTGCTCATTAATCTTTTCAGCACTTCCAGGTGGATGGCATCCTGAGGCTGGAGAGAACGGGGTTGTGAGACACTCATTGAGACGAGCTTACATCACTCTCCCAAGTTGCACACACCCTTCATCAAAGAGGAGGTGACAGCCGACTGCCACCCGTCTTATTGAAGGCCGAGGAGTGGGCGATCGCTTGCCGCCGCTGGCCCATATGGTCCTGGTCAGCAGACACTGTGCTGGTCCCCAGTCATCACGGCACAGACCCAGTGAGACTCTTTGTTGTCTGTTTCTCTCCCTAGAAGCTGTCAGCCTGGAGGGCTGGGTTCAGCTGTAACACTCCAGAGGACTCTGGGCAGGCTGACCGTTCCAAGGGTCCCTCACCAATCAGAAAGGCAATAAGGGGCAAAATCCCCTGTGTTCACTTTCATGTGGGAGCTCACTAAAGTTCTTTATGTGAGCACCTATGGTGAGAGCCCTTCAAGGATGTGTGCAAGACCAGGGACTGCTCAGCTCCTTGGCTGTAATCAACACTGAGTAAGAAGATCATTTTCCTACTCAGGGTCACAGCGTATAGCATTCGATGGACTGCGACATCTTTCTAATCCTTTACACCTCCTTATTCTAATTCCTTTAACACAGAATTAGAAATTAACAGTTTCAGGAGAAACTGGCCGAGGTGTAGACACAGCAGCTGATGAAGTTGACATATAGAAACTTCCCCCAAAGGAAACAAAGACAAACTGAACAGACTCCTTAGTGAGGTGTGTTGATACACGCTTGCAATTCTAGTACTCTGGGGGCAGGGGAGTGCTGAAAATCTGAGGCCAGCCTGACTTGCATGACTAAGGCCATGCAGTGAGACTCAGCCTCAAAAACAATAAGCTGCTCAAACGCCACCACAGGAAAAATGGCGAGAAGAGGAAAGACGCCAGATGAGGATCTAAACGCAAAGGTTGCTGGGTATTTCAGTGGTCAGCCGCTTGCCTAACAAGCAAGGCCTACAACACACATGCATATGCATGCAAGCAAGCACTCACGCACGCACACATACAAAGGAGTTATCATTTTAGACAACACAACCGAACCACAGAGCTGGGCAGTAGCTAACTCCAACCTAGGGTCCAGTTTTCTCCACACTGGTGCAAACGGCAGGGATGGGATGCCAGGATTCCTTGTGGAAGC